GTGAGCGGAGGTCCTCCGGCGCCTGCTGCACAAAGTCGCACACCGAGATGAGGGCCGCCATGGCGCCGTGGTGAGGTGGCGCCAGGAAGGGGAACTGCCGGCCGTCACCGCAGTCACACCAGGGCTGGGCAGGGGGCTGGGGTCACGCTGCAGCCAGCAGTGAGGGCAGGATGGAGCCCCTCGCCTTGCACACCCACACCCTGAACAAACACACACACACCCCAGTGTGCACACGCTGACACACACCCGCACACCAGGCACACAGCAGCACAGCTACAAATCCTGCAATTATAAACTGAAATATTTTGAGGAAGTCTGAAGCAGACACGCTTTGAGTCACAGGGAGCCCCAGCCTGGTGGTGTGGTGGAAAATGTAGCTGAGCATGGCTGCAAGAGCCAAGGAGCTGCCTGGTGACGTGCACCGGGCGAGCTGGGGTGCACTGGACACTATGGGGGTGCACTGGACACCATTTGGGAAGGCAATGTCTCACGCGACAGGCTCTGCAGGAAGCCGGGGGTGACGCAGCACTGTGGCAGCCCAGGGCTCCGCTCTACCCCCCATGCGGGTGCTGCATGACCTGAGCCCCTTGCAGCCTGTTTCGCTCCCCCTGCACCCAAGCATGCCCCAGGGACAGAGGGCTCCCCCTTTGCCATTCTGGGGCTCCTGCCCAGCAGCTGACCTCTGGCCCCCCGAGGGGAGCACCGCATCTCCCCCACGCTCACTCCTGGCTTCAGGTCCAGCCAGAGTCCTCACCTGCTCCTCACCTGCCTGCCTGGCTCCACCCAGCCAGTTTTCTTCCCAAAACTTACTCTATTCCTGCCCCATTCAAAAGACAATCAGGCCGCTGCTTTCACTGTAAAACCCTGTTGTCAGTTAATTTCTTTGGAAACACAATGGTCCCTCTGAACATCATCTCCTGCACCAGGATGAGACCCCTCAGAAGGAATCTGTCCTGTCAAAACTCAGGGTGAAGCAACTCCACTTGAGATCAGATCACATCAGGGCTTGTCTGTGCAGAAGACAGGAACCCTGGGGCACCAGAGACCATGCTGAGAACAAGTCTCATTTAATTTACATCAGCCCAACACCACAATACAGTCATGCTGAAGACCCCGTGGGGATGTCGCAGTGCTGTGCTATCCGGGAGGAAGGGCAAAGGGGCATCAGCGAGGACTGCCTGCAGCAGAAAGCAGCTGCAAAACACAGGCAGCATCAGAGAGAGCAGCCAAGGAGTTTTTACTCCTGTGGAAATGAAGAGCCAAAATGAAGTTTGAAGCCTGAATCCAACCCAGCACATGCAGGAAAAGCTAGCAGCTTGTAAGGAGTGATAACCAGAAACTCCGTGTCCTGGAGAGCGCTACCACGTCCAGGGCTGACTCCACCACCAAGAGCTGTTCCTGTGCTCTTGGCATGGCAGGAAGCTCATGGCTACCTTGGCTCTGTCATCCTTCTCCCTGGGGAGCCCCATTCAAAGGTCTTCCAGGTCCTACCTCCACCAGGACCCTCCACCAGACCTGCCTTCCCCCTGCACACAATGTGTTTTGAACTCTTCAGGCAAAGACCTGGGAAGTGGCAAGTGTTGTCAATCTGCGGCATGGATGGCTCTGTATGTCCACATGTCTGCCAGAATTGCTCTCAATGGCAAGAGCTGGTTTCAGCTGCCATGTCTGTGGGGACAGCACCAGCAGAACCCATTTTCCCACCCTCCCACCCCGGTCCCAAAAAGAGCATTTTTTTCCCCAAAGCTGTAACTGTCCTTCAAGGAGTTTGCCTTATTTAGTAGGTTGGTTACTTGATTTCTTAGCACCTCATGGGTATTTAGCATGAAACGTGACTCCCCAAAGAGAGGCCACTTCTGCAGGTCTTTCACTGTGAAGGTTGCTTCTGCACCTGCAGGACTTCCTTAAACTTTCTGGTCCAGTCTTGATTCCTGCAATAATCACCCCATCTTTGAGTCGTCCTGTGCTGGAGAGCATTTATCCATTGATGATCTTCTCGCTGATGTATCCAGGCATGGTGTAGATCAAAAGAACCAGGAAGATGGTCAGAACAGCAACAATGAACAGCAAAATTATGTATTTCTTATACCGCTTCCAGATAAAGAACACAAAGGTCTTCATGGGATTCACAAACCAGTTGAAAGAAGTTTTTGGCCGGCTGGAACAAGAAGGGAAGAATAGATAAGCACAGGCTCAATCCACAGAGCAGCACGTTGGTGCCCTGCCACCCTCATGGGCTGCCAGCTCTTCCTGCTGCTTCCAGACAGGATCACCCTAGGGGCTGCAATAACTACCATGCCCGTGAAAGCACTGGAGACAACAGGATCTGAGCCACAGGACAGTCCTCACAGAGCTGTTCTGCACCCATGTGGCTAACAGGTCCGTTCACACGGTTAAACCAGAGCTGCCCTTTTTGTACAAGCAATGTTACGGCGTAGCTGCCTTGAGTACCTCACTGAGATCAGCCCTGGCCCAGACGCTGCAGCCACAAGTCCTGCCAGACCCACTGAAGCTCTGGGAAGCCCTGGCAGCCCCAGTCCTGCAGACCCCACGGCTCAGGGCCTCACGGATTACTCTCAGCTCCTGACAAGCAGATGCTCCCTGTCACCACACAAACAGCTGCTGAAAACAAGGCACTGTCCATCCACGTGAAAGGTGATAACACAGATACTCACCTGGGCTTTTCCAGGGGTTCAGGCTCTTTTCGGCCCAAACCAACAGGACTTTTCTCAGCCTCCTCCACAGTCAGCAGCTGGAACTCTGCTTCCACCTTACCCTGGAGGGGGAACACATCTGAGCCACAACCACACGTGTTGCTTTGCAGACCAGCCTGCTGACCACATGCCCGGAGAGGACTGCGTATTTTTCTTCCAGTAGCACTTACAGATGGTCAGAGCAATTAACTTTTCTCTCCAGGCATTAGCTACAGAGTTTCTCACTTTGCTGCCAGCGGAAACTGTGGCCTGGCCAGACACAAGCTGTTTTGCAGACGAGGCACTGAACTGCAATGCACTCCCCAGCTATCTGGATTTGTCTGCTACCTCCCACACCGGCACTGAGCAAAACTCACCCTTGGGGACAAACAGTGGTCCACTAGCAGGGCCACCAGCAGCACGTCTGCCCTGGGACAGTTGGCACCTGCCTGTCTGGGGTATGCAGAGACCCCAGGACAAGCTTTTGCTGCTGTCCTGTCTGGTTGATGGGGAGCCACGTGCCTCTTGCTTTGCTCCCCGCACTGAGCACTGCTCTACGGGAAGCCCAGAGGAAGACGTGAAGTTGGATACCCGCTGCATGCTGCCACTGGCACTTCTGAGTGGATGAAGTATTGGATTTGCAGCAGATGGGACAAGTCTCCAGGACCCTGCACAGAGTCCTGGGCAGCTGGGTCATTGCTGCCTCTGTAGGTTAGGTGCATGCAGGACAGGTTGCCATGTCAAGGCAGAGGCAAAACACTCTGCTCACCTGTGCCAGCAGCCTGCCTTACCGTCAGGAGGTACTTGTTCCCACTGGGGTCTGTGAACTCCACATCCTCTGGTCTGACTGAGCTGCTCCACTTCTTCTTCTTCTTCTGCTTGTCCTCCCTCTCCTCTCTCTCCTTGTCTTCTTGATCTTTGAGTTTGATGAAGGGCCACCAGCCCCTCATGCGCTTGTTTCGGAAGATAGAGAAGCGAGGTGTTGCATTCTCCTTGGCCATCTTGATGGTGCAATGCTCTGAGCTCTTGGCTGCCCGTACCATGTCATGTAGCTTCAGCTCGATGGAGCCTGCAGGCACAGTGAAGAGGAGAGCTCATGGTGAAATCCTGAGGTCAGCCCCACACACCATTTGGCTCTCTGTCTCAGCCACACTCCCACCACCACAAGTAGGTACCAGACACTGCAATAATCTAGCAGAGTCCTGCACATTTACAGGTGGAGAACCTTGAAGCTCAGCATAAGAAAGGACCAGCCCCAGAGTTAGAGACTGAGAAGCAGAAGCCACAGGTCTTGTCTCATCTCTGATGGGGCCAGTCTGGTTTGTGTGTGGTACAGTGAGTTCTCTTCACTCCTTTGCCATGTCCTACTCTGCTCTATTCACATGTCTTTCCCTCTCATTCTTGCAAAAGTCAATAAAAATTTGTAAAATCTGGGAAACTCTTTAAAGGTTTCACGTCTGTCTGACATCTGAAATAGCCTCAGTTCATTTCACTGCTTGGCCTTGCGCCCCTGTTCTCCTTGGAAGGTGGTCCAGTCCACTTTGGCACTGAGCCCCTGCAACAAATCAGTCTTACCACGTACTGGTCTGTATTGTCAAAAGCATAGCCAGCAACCAAGGGATGAGGGTGTTCTCCTCTGTTCAGCTTTGGTGAGACTGCATCTGGATACAGTGTCCAGTTTTGGGGTCCCAACACAAGAAAGATGTCAACTAACTAGAGAGAGTCCAGTGGCTGAGATGGTCAAGGCTACAGTATGTGCCATAGCAGGATGGGTTGAGAGCCCCATGCATGTTCAGCCCAGAGAAGAGAGGTGAAGGGAGAGATCTTACTGCATCTCTCAGCCTAGAGGAAGCAATAGAGCAGATGGAGCTAGACTCTTCTCAGAAGTAGAGGATGAAGGCATGTAAGGCTGCTGCAAGTAAAAAAAAATTGAGAATTATGAGAACGGTCTAGCCAGGAAAAGGGGCCCAGAAGGGTGCTGGGATCTCCATCCTTGGAGCTACTCAAAAGTCACCCAGACAAGGCCCAGAGCAACCCGACCTACATTGCAACTAGCCCTGCTTGAAGCAGGAGATTGCAATAAAGACTGCAGAAGCCCTTTCCTGCCTAGAAGTGTCTGGGGTTGTACCTGCCAGGAATGGTTCAGATTGCTGTCTAACACTTTTTTCAGTGCCTGAGTAGCATGGCTGAACCAGTCACCATTGGAAGTGCCTCATGGAGATAAAGCCCTTTAAATACACCATGGAAGGTTGACGAATAGAGTTTTATCCTTCCCAAGAAACAGCAGGTCAAAGGGGCTGCTTTTTAATGGGGAGGCCAAAGTTTGAAGAAGGGAGGGACAAAACTGAACAGAATGTTACTGTCCTGGTTTCAGCTGAGAGGATTGATTTTCTTCATAGTAGCTAGTGTGGGGATATGTTTTGGATTTGTGCTGGAGACAGCATTGATAATATAGAGATGTTTTTGTTCTATGGACTTATTGTTGAGCAGTGTTTACATGGGGCCAAGGCCTTTTCTGCTTCTTGCACTGCCCTGCCAGCAGGATGGCTGGGGGTGGACAAGAAGTTGGGAGGAGACACAGACAGGACAGGTGACCCAAACTGACCAAAGGGATATTCCATACTATATGACATCATGCTCAGTTTGTAAGGAGCGTGGGGGAAGAGGGGGGGGGGCGGCGGCGTTCAGAGCGATGGCGTTTGTCTTCCCAAGTAACCGTTACGCGTGACAGAGCCCTGCTTTCCTGGAGATGGCTGAACACCTGCCTGCCCATGGGAAGTGGTGAATGAATTCCTTGCTTTGCTTTGCTTGTGCGCGCGGCTTTTGCTTTACCTATTAAACTGTCTTTATCTCAACCCACGAGTTTTCTCACTTTAACTCTTCCAATTCTCTTCCCCATCCCGATGAGGGGGGAGTGAACGAGCAGCTGCGTGGTACTCAGCTGCCGGCTGGGGTAAAACCACGACAGTTACAAACTTGGGGATGGCAGCAGAAGCAGGAAAGAAGCAGCAGCATTTGTGCTAGTGTAGTGTAGGCAGAATCACCACCAGCCCAGCTTCATCACCAGGCCCTGCTGCATGCCCAGCTCAGCAGGGCTGGTTACTGGGAAGTACCAGAGCAGCAGGGGAGCTCCGAGCCCCCATGCAAACTCAACATGTCTATATAGGCTCTGCGTATAGCTCACATGTGAAAAACCAGCCCAGGTGACTGCTGAGCTGAAGAACTTAATCTGATGCTCCTGGCAGCCCTTCTCAGAGAGCTGGGAGCCAGGGGAAACACTGCAATACTCCAGCAAGGTGAGGGACAGGCCACCCCACTTCCAGCAGGTCACAACATACCTAGAAAGTCATTAGCTGAAATCCTGTCATAATCCCAAACCTGGAGGACCAGAACAGCCGGTTCCCGAAATTCTGATTCCTCCACAGAGAAGACAGAGTCCTTCTTCTTGTAGGTAATCTCCTTCTCGGTTGGGAGATAGTTGAAGCGGAAGATGAACCTCCAGTTGAAATTGCCCTCCCCAGTCAAGGAGTTAAAGTGAACATCTGTCTCCTGCTTGTCGTGCTCAAGACCCTTTATCCAGCTGCAGGAGAAACTCCGTTATCTCCTACCCCGTGTCAGCCAGCCTCAAAGGCAGAGCAGAAGGATGGAGGGGCTGAAACCCATGGGGTAGCAGGAAAGGAAGAGTCAAAGAGCCAAACCAGACCAACATCTGACCAACATCTTTGGGGGTACAGCAGTCCATGTAGGGGACTGGAGTGGGGTACCTCATGCTGAGGCAGGGAAGAGCAGAGGTTCAGAGGAGGCAGGGAGGGTGTGGGGCAGGGAGCAGGACAGCCAAGCTCTGGCCTCCCTCTGGCTCCCTCAGACCTTTTCACGTAGATGTCACTGGAAGGCTCTCCCGTTACTGGGTTGACATCATCAAGGATCACACTGTCCGTGTTCCAGATAGTCACACGCAGCTCGTAGCTGTGGGAAGGACACAGGGGTGAGTGAGACACATGCTCTTGCCCCCAGGGCCTGGGAGGGCAGGTCAAGCCCACACCGGCAGAGCAGCAGCACTTGAGCTCTCCTAGCATTGTGGTCCCCTGCCAGGGCTCCTCTGGCCAAGCACAGCCCAGCAGTCTCGCTGCCACACACAAAGCCCTTCCTGGGGTCTACAACCCCACAGGACAAACACCCACAGTCAAAACAGGCAGCTATTGCAAAGTAAATCCCTGGTGTGTGGGAAACCAACCCAGCAAGACCTAGCTATAGGAGCACAGAAAGGCTCAGGCAGGAGGGGACCTCTGCAGTCTCTGCTCCAACCTCTTGCTCGAACTTCATAGTAGATCAGATTGCTCAGGACCTTGTCTGCATGAGTTCTGAATATCTCCAAGGACAGATATCCCAAAACCTCTCTGGGTCACTCCATCCCTATCCCAGGGTAGCTTCACTCTCACCGGGGAAATGTTTTCCCTCTATCCAGTTGGAGTTTCCCTTGCTGCAGTTTGTGTCCATTATCTCTTGTCCTTTCATGTGCAGCTCTGAGAAGAATCTGGACCCTCCCTCTCAATAGCCCCATTAGATCACTGAAAACAGATCTCCTCCTTCAACTTCACCTCTCCAGGCACCCAGAGGACATCTGTCTACTAGCCAAAATAGACCTAGATAAGTAGGTTTCTATCACCTTCACGTCCAGCCTTAGAGAGATTACCCCTCCCTTCACAAACATTTGTGCAGCTGAAGCGCTTATGCCCTGTGCTGATACACCCAAGAAACCATCCCATGGCCAGAGCTGAAGCAGAGAGGAGGGCTGCATGCCAGGCTAGCACAGACTGTCAGCCTGTGCAGGACTCTGTGGCACATCCCGCCAGGCATGGAAAGGGAGAGTGACCCTCCATGCAGGATCACCAGCCCCAGCCGCGCTCCATGGGTGCTACCTGACAGGCAGTCGTGGCTTGATGTTGACAGGTGGTGGTGCGGGGACATCGTTTGGGAACATGTCAATCCACATGTGCAAGGAGCCCTGATGAGAGAAGACAGAAGAGAGACTTCAAAAGACAGACGACCCTCCAGCTCTTCAAGGAGCAAGGCTTGGTCCTGCAAGGAAAGCTCTCACCAGAAAGCCACTGCTTGGCTCTCTCCATCCCCAGTGCTTCAGAGTGACCTGTGATTGGATTTTAGATAGGGAAAAAATGAAAACTACCAAAAATTACTTATTTCCCTCCCCACCCTGCTCCCAAGAAAAACCATTTCAGCTGAAATGAGTGTTTCAGAGGCAAACGTTTCCCTCTGTCTTAACAAGAAGCATATGATGATGCAACACTTCAGCATAACCCAGAAAACTAAAAAGCGATGGGTCTGATCCTCCCCTCCCCACGTGCATTTCCAAAGCCGACCAAAGCCAGAATGATGGCAGAGCTCTGCTTTGTTGCAAACCTCCGGCACCCGAGGGAACAGGTGGTGTTCAGTGCAGGACATTGAAATGGTTGAGCTCAGATCACTGCACTGCATAAAACTGAGGAGTGTTTCTCCTCTGGCCAGCAGGTACGTCATGCGCCCAGGGACGAGCCAAGGGGGCAGAACAGGGCTCTGGCAGGGGAGCAAAGCAGCAGCGACAGGGGACAAATCAAAGGAAGAGGCAGGGATAGGCAAGGACACTACCACCCACTGCATGGTGGCAGGGCTGAGAAGGCAGAGCAGGTCCCTTGCCACCCACACAGCATCCTCAGCAGAGCAGTGCTACATGGCCTGTTGAGACAGGAAGGACTCTGGGCCACCAGCATTGTGACCACAACATCAATGGACAGAAGTCCCTTGAGGAAAGGGTGTTCAGAAGCACCATGAGAGGTTAGAGGGTGGATCTGAGCAAAGGACACCCAAGGCCAACAGTCCTCACTTCATAGCAGGGCCAGCCATCCACAGACACAGCTCCAGTCACCCACCCAGGAAAGGGCAATGCATGGGATTCATGCCATGATGAAGAGACAACAGGGAGCTGGGAAACAGCTGCCCCAATGGTCCTTCCCCAGAGCAATGTCTAGGCTGGGCAAGGAAACACACCTCACCTGCACGAGCCCAGGGTTCTCTGGTTTGTACAGGGACCGGATCTCCACGTGCTCTGGTACCAGCTTGTACCCGTATCTTGGCATCTCTTCCCAGTGCTGCAGGACGTACAAAGCCTTATGTTCATCATCTGCTGACCAGTTCTCATCTGCCACTCCTCTCTTGTTTCTCACAGAGGTCTCTGCAGCAGGACACAGCCAGGTAGAAGATGAAGACATCTGGCTGGCAAGAGCCACATCAGGATGTCAGTCACAGGCACAAGTAAGGAAAGATGATAGACTGGACAAACAAGCACCTCCCCCAAAAAACAAAATGGGGAGAAGCAGGAGGGTGGAAATGAAGGGAATGAGTCCAATATGTTGCAGTGATAAGGAAAACTGTAGGCAGGAAGACAAACAAGCTAAGAGAAATAAGAGGAAAAGAGCAAAAAAAAATAATTTACTATGGCCCTGGGAAAAGGATCCAGGGAACACTGAGGAGGACGTGACATTCTGGGGCAGTTTAAGTCCCCATGTCTCTGTGGCAGATCCGTGGATGAGAGGTTTTGCCCTAGAAGTGCTCCAGGAAAGCACCACTTGTCACTTGACAGTGACACGCAGCTGTGCTCTCCATTAATTAATAGTCTGTGTGATCGACTTATTTGGCAGAGTGAAGCCAAATGGCAGTTCAAGACCAAATCCTACTGGTGGGGAGAAAAGCAGGAACCAACAGGTGAGGACACAGTGACCCCCCACCCTGAGTTTATGGAGAGCATCTGCCCTTTGGAGATCAGCCTGAGACTGAAACCATCCCAAGCAGTGCCTGAGCACAGCTGAGGTTCACGGGGCATCAACTGCAGCCACGTTTGAACCAGAGATGGCTCTCAGGGGATCACCAGGAGAGCACCTCCTTTCTTCCTTCCCAGCTACCCAGTGACCTGAGAAAAGGGAAAAAGGGCTTTTGGAAGCTCCTTGCCCTCTCCTGAGCATGATTTCTTTCCCCTTCACAACAAAAGCCACAGAGGCCAGCGGAAAGCTGAGGAACAGCAACACTGAAATAAGCAGAAGGTAAAGTTGGCCACACACATAGGTCCTCCATCTCTGGGCAGGTCAGACACAGGGATCATCCTTTGTACAGGCTACATAGCATTGCCTTGCAGGACCCAGCCATCCACAAGCAGGCCACACCTGCTCCATCCTTTCCTCCAGGCTGGATTTGATTGCACAGGTGTTGGCCACTGGAGGGAATGTGCACAGCAGGGACAGGACTGTGCTCAGGGAAGTTCTCCATCACTGCTGGCAGAGGGCATGAAAGGCTGCTGTGTTCTTGGACATCCATGGCCCTGGCTCAGGGTTTGTAATGCCAGTGAGGAGGAAAGAAAAACAGCAAAGAAGAAGCAGAAGCTGCCCACAAGGAGGACATTAACAGCAGTGAGGAGCAGTGGGGAGTCACCCAAGACACCGAAAGTCACTAGAAGCAGAGAGCATCCCTGAAGGACAAAGCCAGCTAAAAACAGGAAAGGAGACTGAAAAAGCACACACCACCACCCACCACCCCCCCCCAAAAAAAAAGAAGAAAAAAAAGTATGCCAGTATCTTGCTGATGGTGGGCACAAGCAGATGGAGGTACAGCTTTGTGCCAGTGTCAGCCACCAGAATAAGCTACACTGTCTCTGGCTGCACAAGCCATCACATCCCCATGCACAACACTGCCGTGCAAGTGGATTTACTTTGCTCCACCCACTGCCTGGGAAGCCCCTTTGGGACCTAATGGCCTGGATCATGTCTTTCCCCTGTGCAACACCGTCATCTACTGAAACCAGGCCACTGAGCACAGAGGATGCTCCTCGCAGTGACCTGGAAAGCTGGGCCATGCAGGGCACAGAGTGGGGAAGTGTCCAGCCTGGACACTTCAGGGAAGAGAGACTGTTGGGTTGCAGCCATTGTTCTCCAAGCCTTCTGTACCTTCAGGAAAAGCCTCTGGAGGGACCTTGAATATTTTATTGTCCACTTTGACGTCCTCCTGTCTGTACTCTGCTGCAGGGAGCGAGTTTTTCTTGCATAAACTATCCAAGATACGTGTGGGCTTGAAAGCATCTCGCCACATGTTGTAGCCGTTTCTGCATGGAAGGGAGAACATTGAGAACATCTTCAGCTTAGACACAATAGGGGTTTTTCCTAGGCTGTGAAACACCCTGCCTTCCGTACAGCACAGGCTATGCCACCCCTGCTCAGATTGTCACTGGAAAAACCAGAGGCACAGAACAGCTTAATGAATGAAAAGCTTAAAAGCTCTCTTCCCACAGAAGAAGCCAGGCTTGCACCCCACAGAACCATTAGCTTCAGAGCAGCAACAGGAGCAATTCCACCTGCAGCTTGCAAACGGGAGAAAGATTTTAGCAGTGTTGGGGACTCAAGTCCATGCCCACAGCTAATTCTCCAATAGCTGTAGGAGTTTACAGAAAACTGGCCAAAGATGCCAGAGAATCCATACTGAATGAGGCCAAAGGAAAATAGATGTCATGAGTCTTGCTGCTCACAGATTTAGATACTGCCAGAGAAACCACCCTACTTTCTGAAAGAAGTCAAATCACATCAATGTCAAATGAGCACTTTTCTCACAGAATACCAATATGAAAGCATTAAAGAATTTTTTGCTACTGTATGCAAAATATATTAGTCTGCAGTAGGAATTAGAGCTATCACAGGAAGCTGACAGGAGTCTAAAGGAGATGAAGTTATCCGTGTAACTTGTAGCGAATCTGTGGGGCACCTGCTCAAAGGATACTGTGGATGCACGCTCCGTCCTGCAAAACTAGAGGTGCTCTGTTACCCACCCAAATGGTAGGCGAGAAGATTGCGTCTCATAGCCCTAATGTGTCACACTAGGACCTACATGTCGTACTGAGAAGCCACTCCACAGTTGGCCCTATGCTTGCTGTAGAATCGATTCTCCAAGTCAATCTTGGTCTCCCCAATCAGATCATCAGATCCAACCAAATCATGATCGAATATTGCCACAGTGAGTTCCGATTCCATGGGAAAGGAGACTGTCAGCTCCACAACTCTGGACAGAAGCAGATGGGGAGAGTGCAATTAGCAAAGAGGATGGAAATAAAACACATGCTTTGCTTTGATCATCCTACACATTTAAGAACTGTATTTAACAACTCCAAGACCTCTGATAGAGTTTGGTTCTCCATAAGTTCAGTGTGTGCAGTTTTTCAGCGCATGCAGTTTTCAGCGTGCATGCTCAAACAAAGGAGTTACTTTTCTAGGAATGTATGCTTTGAATAGAGGTCCTGGAGCTACGGAAAAAGCTCTCCAATGCTCTATTGCTGCTTGGCTTGCTACTTTGTCTGTTAAATCAGGCCCTTCAGAGTGCTCCCCTCCTAACCCAAAACACTTATGGCTCCTATGTAGCCAGAGGCAAGAGACATGCCTAGGACCTTTGTGTTACAGCACAAGATTCTCCATCAGAAAGAAAGTGAAGACCACACATGCTGGGCCACAGCCTGAGCCCCAGATTTGCACTATTCCTATTAAACTTGCTAGAAGAAAACTTCCTGCGTACTCTCCAAACACAGGATTGAGCTGCTTTGGGATGTATCGCTCCTTTGTGTCCTTCTGCTCCTGCCCCACAGTCACCACCACATAGGGGTCTGCCTTGCCATTGGGGTCTGCTGGAGACAGGTTCGTAGCCTGTAACACACAAGAGGTACTGCCATACATCAGCTGCAGAGAGCACCCTCCACAGGCCTGAGACCACCCAAGCCCCCTGGCTGGGCCCCCCCAGCAGTGAAACAGGCACCTGTTCCCATGCAAATCCCCACTCAACGAGCCACCGATGTCTCCAGCTGTCAGCCCACTCACTTGCTCACTGTCTCAAGGCAGATGAGGGGAGCTAAGAAATGCCTATCTGGATTTTTAGCACCTCCTGTCGCTACAGAGCATGGAAGGCTCCCCATGGACAAGATGTAGCTGACTTCCACTGGGCTGGCAGAGCCTTCAAGCCAGCACAGAGCCCTTCACAAGTGCCACTGCTCATATTTACTGAGCAGAGAATGGCAGGAGGTCCATAGAGAGGTGACATTACTGCCACCATCACCAGAGACTTACCTTAACGATGTAAACTCTTACAAGAACTTTGATGGGTCTGTTCCTTGGAATGCCCTGGGAGACCCTGGGCTCTGTGCTGGCTTCCTCAGTGGGGTAGACGTAGAAGGAGCCCTGCAGAAAAGACATTGCAAGTAACAACTAGATACAAAAGAGAGTATCTTGGATGGGATTGGAGCCACCAAGACTAGCTTCACCTGCCAACTGGAAAATCAGAGCCACTGCCCCATGCAGACCACAGACACCCTGTGCCCATGGGCACACTCCTTTCTCCTTTCCAAAGGCACTGTCATGTCCACATGACAGGCAGTCCATGCTTGCAAGTTAGGCTGCAGGCTGTCAGACCACTGCCAATGCCAGATCTGAACATCTCCAGGCACTTTGGATTGCCAAAGGCAGGGGGCACCAAAGGTTTTCTAGGGACCTTCTTAAATCAACTTCTGCAGTTGACATTTCAGTCTTCAAGACCTCCTGGGTGGGAGGACGATGCCTCTTTTAAACAAGTTTTACTTATTTTAAAACCAGTGAAGCTCACTAATTCTTGTTTGCATACTGAACATACCCAGAGGCCCCAACTAGAATGAGTCCTTTATTCTTCACGCTTTCTCCTTGCAAGAGCTAAAAAATCTAAATCAGGTGCATTTATCAACTAACAAAGGAGCACAGTACACAATTGCTTCAACAGGCACCAACGGTACCCTGGCCACGCTGCACCATGGCCTCACATCTCCTTGCACACACATACACTCTCCAAGGCTTTGCTGGTGTTGGCATGCTCTGAAATGCAGGTTGTCCTAAGGATTTTCTTCCACGTGCAGCACAAATGTCATTGAAATGATACAGTACCTTGTACTTCCCCACAAAATGTTCATCCTCATTTCCATCTTCATCCTCATTTGCTTTGCCACGATGAAGGGGAAAAATACACAGCCAGTCTTCAAAATTATCAAACTCATTTTCCAGCTCAGAGTTGTAGATCTGAAATAAGTAGAAAGTAATTTTGGGCCTTTTTGCTGCCATCTTAAATGGGAGGAGAGTCAGAAAGACCATCCTTTCCCTGCTTCAGCCATTTCACCTGGTCCTACCTTACCCCTGTATTAGTCAGTGCAGGGTGTTATGGTTTTCCCTTATCCCCCCCAGGTCCAGCCTCAGATGTGCACACACATCCCAGCTTGGCTCCAAGGTCTCACTAGCTGTTTCAAAGCCCAGCAATGATGGGGGCCCAGCACACACTGCAGGTTCTCCTCCCAGTCTAACCTCCACTGCAGGGAGGTGAGGACAGCATGGACAAAGGGCTGGGGTTGAAAGAGGCCAGATCTGTCACCCCAATAATCACCTGAAGGGTGGCGATGAGCTTCCTCTTGGGTCGAGCAGGTTCAGCTTCAGTTACTGCCTCATCTTCAGCTTCCATGTCAATGGAGGATGCATTTAAATTCCCTCCATCTAGAAATGGCAATAGGAGATTAGGAAATGCTCTGCTCTCTCCCATCATCTCAAGTGTCTGTCCATGAAATGACCCCAGCAACAGCTTTCACTTTCACCTAGGGTTTTGACCTGTGCCCAGGTATCTGGAGCTATTGCTGTCTGTAACAGGTGTCCTTACGGCATCTCAGGTTTCCCAGCACAGCATGACTGGATGGGTGGGGAGACAAAATTTGGCACAGACTTTCCTGCCTGCATGGCTGTTGTTTAGGAAGGTAGTGGGCAGAGACCAAAAGGGGGAAGGTAGCTAGACCAGCCCACGGGTGCTGTCAGGGAAGGCACAAATGAGAGCTAATCCTCTTCTTTGGATGGATGCTTATCTGATGGACTGCTGTTTTGGGTGCATGTCTAACTGAACCATCACTACCACTTTGGGCACAGGCAGCTGTGCATGGAGAGAGCACAGCCAGACCTTTCCTGGGGCACCAGCAACCCAAGGACAGAGAGGGTGCCTCCTTGATCCATTTCTCAAAGAACCCAGATCCCTTGAGCACTAGTGGCATGCAGGTACCCTCCAGCCCCCTCCTTAAGTAGGATTTACATAATTTCTATACTTACTGTCTCACCCCCCAGGTAACTGCTAGGCGAGTCACTGCTTACACCACCTGGGCATACAGCTGTAACACTGTTCTCAGATCATCTATTATTGCTGTCTTTCTGTTACCTCGTAGTGAATCCTGTAACCCAGATGCGTATCCCACATGCACAGCGATGCCCAGCTCCTGGTCAGTTTTGCCTCTCCACCATCCTCTCGCTGCACCCCAGCTTTGCTTCCCACTCTCACCCTGACAATCCCATGATCCTTGCAGCTGATTTTTCTGCAGGTTTTTGCTCACTCAGGAAGGCTCTTGCTTCAACACAATTTTCCAAACTTTTCTGAAGCCAAGTTTGTTGTTTTCAACTTGAATTAACCTTTGTTAGTCCTTGCCAATGTTTCCACTCTCTCTGCTCCCTTTTGTGTTGTTTTTGCTGACTATTGCAAAGCTGTTGCCTGCTCAGACCCCATTCCCACAAGCCCAGCACCCTCTGAGATCGTGTAAGTCCTGGCTCTGCCCACAGAATAGCTGGGTATTGCTAAAGAACTCACCTGCATCATTCAGGTCATCATTCTCAGCATCTTCCTCACCACTGTGTGTCTGAAACACACACAAACAGTCACTCCACATCCCTGACAGCAAAGGCTTCCCCATCCAAGCACAGGACACTGTCAAAGCTTTCCTGCCAGCAGAGTCAGCAATACCTAGTCTGAGATCATTTAGCACTAACATCATTGCAGGAGGGTATCCAATGAGTGCCTTCATGACCTTTTCTTCTCCCCAGATCTTCCTGCTGGCTTTTTTGATTGGGATTTAAGGGACACAGGGCAAGGAAGGAAATCTGGGGCAGACCTGCTCCCATAGTACACCCTAGGAAGACAGCCAGGACAGAGAGTAAGCAGCATGAAAGCCCCCGCTTTGCGCCTAAAATCTGCAATGTCACATTTTCAGGAGTGCCTCAACAAAAGCCCGGTCGCATTCTCAAAACCACTTGGGCACCTAGCCTCAGGGATGCTTCAACATCCATTGCCTGCTGAAATCAGTCCACCTGCTGCATGCTTGATACCTGGCTACCTTAAGTGAACTTGACACATAAAGCCCACGTCTTCCTGCAGATCCACACCAGGAGGGCTCCTATCACACTCAGTATTGTTGAAAACATCTCCTCAAGCCAGTGCGGCCGCTTTTCCTCTCTGCTGGCAGCTGTCACAAGAGATTACCTGGTTATACAGGTCCTTCAGGGATTCGTAGTACTTGGACCACCAATCCAGTTCTTCCAGCTCTGGTTTTTCCTCTTCATATTCATCCTCCTTCTTTACAAGCTTATTGATAGGAATTTTCTTCAAAGGAGCCTTAGAAGAACAGAGAAAAGAGTTCAGAGGGAGGAAACGACCACCCAGGACACCCATGCAACCTTACTCTAGTGTCCTGGGAGCCTCTGGCAGAGGCTCAGCTTTCAGGCAGAGCACAGGAGGTACAAAGTGAATCTTGTAGCCCCAGGTTTGTGCTTTGCTGCAAAAGCAGCAGTTTTCAAGGCACAAGGCAACACGGAGCCCAGACATGCAGCAATGCTGATGAACAGGCAGGGGAGAGGAGTGTTTGGGTGCAGAGCAAAAACTGGTGGTTGAAACCTAACTCTGAACTTCTGAACTTTCTTTTTTTGATTGTAACCTTCAGTTTGGCTTTCCAAACTTCAAAATTTGCTGGGCCCAACACATCACTCACCTTCACAAGACTCAGGGGGTGAGTGCTGGGACCTGGGTCACCAGCTGCTGGGCCAATGTTAACCACAGTCTGAGAGGGAAGATGCTGGGATGAGACTTTCCGAGCTGAGAGGAAGAGAAAGAGCTTCATGTTTCCATGTATTTATTTCTGCCCACCACTTCCTACTTTTTGGCCAGTTGTTATTCCACAGGAAAACCCTCCCTGTTACCCTACTACAGGCTGATTGCTTTTAAAGCTTTTGATAGCAGACCCTGCAAAAATATTATTGAAAATCCAAGAACAGAGCTAAGACCATCATCAACATGCTTGTTGCTGACTCCCAATTCAGGAATTCAGATTTATGAGATACACCTTTCCTACTTGGAAATGACCACAGATGGATCGATCCTTTGCTTCTTCCCCTTTGTGCTGTATTTATTTATACACTTCCAGATCAGGAGCTCTGGCTGTCACTATCACAGAGCTATTTAGTGAGTCCATTACCCAATGAACAGACCTTGACCCAACGATGTGAGAGAAGCATAAACCTTTCGATCCTTTGTCCTCGTGAACCAGCTCCCTAAAGCCTGGTGGAGGTCTCACTGGGGACAGCTCTCCGGGACAGCTCTCCAGCCCAGCTATGCAGACAGTTGAAATAGGTGAATACAATAGTCCTTTCCAGGCCAAACATCTCTGATTCTAGACACAAACTTTCTGCAGGGATAAGTTACTGTCTAGTATCTAGCCCCAGCTAAATGTCCTGCTGGACTAAGATGTCTTCATGAGCCAGTGTCCCTCCTCTAGTTTCTACAAACGTAAGGCAAACCGTGCCTGTGAAAGAGACCCCAAAGAGATGCCACATCCAGATGAACAGTCCTGCTGCTGTGGTGGGGAGGCAAATGTTAACCTAACCTTGGCGAAAACAGTCTGCAAATTGCCCTTTGCCATCCCCAAAGAGGGATGCCAGCCCTTATGCAGCACTCCATTGCTTGGCTGCTGCTGCTTCCCAAACACCAGTCTGGAGCCAAGCACTACAGACCAGGAACACAACCTGCCTCCAACCCTAACCTGCACCACACTGTGCTTTTGCTCGGCATCTTAAGGGTCTTGGAAGAGGACTTTGCTGCCTGGCTAGGAGGTAGCAGAGGGGTCAGGGATCTCTGCCACTGGCAAAACCTGCCTGCTGCCTCCATGGTAACCTCGTCAAGTAGCTCACCTTTGGGCACGTCTTCTGGTTCCTCCTCCAGCTCACTGGGAGAGAATTTCATCACATCAGACACAACATGGGTACCCACCACCACAGTGCGCCCAAACGCCCGCTTTTCCACCACAAAGATGCTGAGGGGAGGGTGCAGGTAGACCTGCTCCGGAAGCTCCTGCAAAAAACAGTGCATAGTGTTTGCAGGACCAAGGGTGATACTCATGGCAGCCTGACCACATGCAGGGAGGTCTGACGACACCTTGCAGTTCTGCCCAAAACCCAAAGCCCTGCAGAGATAGGTGATGGCTGAGACTGCTCTTGGTGGGCAATTTCACAAAGGTTTTGATCTGCAGCTGAACCATGTGGCCACAGGAGAGCGAAACCCCAGGGCAGCTCCCCTCCTCTTACCTTGCCCCATCCAGACAGGTAGGTGCAGGATGGCCACAGGGCACCCTGGCATGGCAGGACCCCCCTTCCCACTCACCACATCCATGTATCTGACCAGCTCGGTGAAGTTGGGGTTCTCTTTGTATGCCACAACCACTTCCGACTCCACCTTCTTGCCAGCACATTCAATGATCACCTGAGGCTGATCCACCTCAAACAAGTTCACCCGCTTCAGGTCCCGCAGGCCCCAGAACAGGATCTGAAGCACAACAAGAAGCCACTGGGCTGCTCAAGACATGCCAGGTACGGCACGGCCACGCAGCCTGCAAACCTGCCCGGTGCTGCCACCCCCTCACCCTGCAGGACACAAACCCCAAGAGAGGCATGAGGCCACTCTCCCAACCCAGCCACCCAACAGCTCTGGCTGTTAAAACTGCTCAGATGGTTGCTCCCTCATGTCAAGCATCTCCATGTCTGGCATCTGCTCAGGCCTCAAAGGCATATTTGAGCTCCAAAACCAACTCCCTCCCCAGGCCCTTGCCCTCTGCACAGGCCAGCTGTGCTGTCCACCTGAGGCAGCCCAGTGGGGAGCCAGCCCAGTAGAAGGCAGCACACCTCTATGCGAAATTCCTTCAGCACTGGGCGGATGCCCTCAGGGATGATGAACCGTCCAGCATGGGGGTCTCCCAGGTAGTCAGGCTCCTTGGGCTCCACATCCTCGGGCACTGACGGCTGAACAGGGGGAGCCAGGGCATACAGAATTACAGACTGGTAGGGGTTGGAAGGGACCTCTGGAGATCATCTAGTCCAACACCCCTGCCAAAGCAGGATTGCGTCCAGGCGGGTTTGGAATCTCTCCAGAGAAGGAGACTCCACAACCTCTCTGGGCAGCCTGTCCCAGGGCTCGGTCACCCTCAGAGGGAAGAAGTTTTTCCTCGTGTTCAGATGGAACTTCCCGTGTTCCGGTTTGTGCCCGTTGCCCCTTGTCCTGTCACTGGGCACCACTGAGAAGAGTCTGGCCCCTTCCTCTAGACATCCACCCTTTAGATATTGATAAGCGTTGATCAGAT